TGCAACGCTGCGCCTTGGTCTACTCCTTACCCTGACGATCGTGACACCCTGTTAGTGAGCATTTCTCCTATGCAAAGATAATCCATCCACCTGACAGGTGTGGAATGTTAAGAAGCTGATTAAACAGCATGATCATTACACAAGTGCACCTTGTCTGGGGACAATAAAAGGCCACTCTAAAATGTGGAGTTTTGTCACAACACAATGCAACAGGCTCAAGTGTTGATGGAGCGTGCAATTAGTATGCTGACTGCAGGAATGTCCACCAGAGCTGTTGCCTGAAAATTGAATGTTCATATATCTACCATAAGCCGCCTCCAACGTCGTCTTAGAGAATTTGGCAGTACGTCCAACCGGCCTCACAAATGCAGACCTGGTGTATGGTGTCGTGTTGGTTAGTGGTTTGCTGATGTCAACCTTGTGAACAGAGTCCCCCGTGGTGGCTGTGGGTTTATGGTATTGGCAGGCATAAGCTACGGACAACGACCACAATTGCATTTTATTGTTAGCAATATGATTGCCCAGAGATACAGTGACGAGATCCTGGTGCCCATTGTCGTGACATTCAATTTTTTAAGTTATCTGTGACCAACAGATGCATATCTGTATTCCCAGTCATGTGAAATCCATAGGGCTTAATGAATATATTTCAATTGACTGATTTCCTTATATGAACTGTAACTCAGTAAAATCGTTGAAATTGTTGCATGTTGCGTTTATATTTTTGTTCATTTATTGTGTTAGTGTGTTTAGAAGAGAAGTGCAGCACAAACTTTGTAAATTAAGATTACAAATCAATTTAATGAGGAGTTTCTTGCAGGAGTCCCTCTTGCAGACCAACACATAGGCTACTGGTACTGCTACATAAATAATTGTCGCTAGTATAGGTTATATTACATAGACGTGTAATCTACACTTACATGTACGTTTTATATGCATTATTATAATCATCCACTTCAAATCAAATCAAATCAAATCAAATGTTATTGGTCACATGCGCCGAATACAACAGGTGCAGACATTACAGTGAAATGCTTACTTACAGCCCTTAACCAACAGTGCATTTATTTTAAACAAAAAAGTAAGAATAAAACAACAACAAAAAAGTGTTGAGAAAAAAAGAGCAGAAGTAAAATAAAGTGACAGTAGGGAGGCTATATATACAATAAAATAAAGTGACAGTAGGGAGGCTATATATACAGGGGGGTACCGTTGCATAGTCAATGTGCGGGGGCACCGGCTAGTTGAGGTAGTTGAGGTAATATGTACATGTGGGTAGAGTTAAAGTGACTATGCATAAATACTTAACAGAGTAGCAGCAGCGTAAAAAGGATGGGGTGGGGGGGCAGTGCAAATAGTCCGGGTAGCCATGATTAGCTGTTCAGGAGTCTTATGGCTTGGGGGTAGAAGCTGTTGAGAAGTCTTTTGGACCTAGACTTGGCACTCCGGTACCGCTTGCCGTGCGGTAGCAGAGAGAACAGTCTATGACTAGGGTGACTGGAGTCTTTGACAATTTTGAGGGCCTTCCTCTGACACCGCCTGGTATAGAGGTCCTGGATGGCAGGGAGCTTTGCCCCAGTGATGTACTGGGCCGTACGCACTACCCTCTGTAGTGCCTTGCGGTCAGAGGCCAAGCAGTTGCCATACCAGGCGGTGATGCAACCAGTCAGGATGCTCTCGATGGTGCAGCTGTAGAATTTTTTGAGGATCTGAGGACCCATGCCAAATCTTTTTAGTCTCCTGAGGGGGAATAGGCTTTGTCGTGCCCTCTTCACGACTGTCTTGGTGTGTTTGGACCATGATAGTTCGTTGGTGATGTGGACACCAAGGAACTTGTAGCTCTCAACCTGTTCCACTACAGCCCCGTCGATGAGAATGGGGGGCGTGCTCAGTCCTCTTTTTTTTCCTGTAGTCCACAATCATCTCCTTTGTCTTGGTCACGTTTAGGGAGAGGTTGTTGTCCTGGCACCACACGGCCAGATCTCTGACCTCCTCCCTATAGGCTGTCTCATCGTTGTCGGTGATCAGGCCTACCACTGTTGTGTCGTCGGCAAACTTAATGATGGTGTTGGAGTCGTGCCTGGCCATGCAGTCATGGGTGAACAGAGAGTACAGGAGGGGACTGAGCACGCACCCCTGAGGGGCCCCCGTGTTGAGGATCAGTGTGGCAGATGTGTTGTTACCTACCCTTACCACCTGGGGGTGGCCCGTCAGGAAGTCCAGGATCCAGTTGCAGAGGGAGGTGTTTAGTCCCAGGATCCTTAGCTTAGTGATGAGCTTAGAGGGCACTATGGTGTTGAATGCTGAGCTGTAGTCAATGAATAGCATTCTCACGTAGGTGTTCCTCTTGTCCAGGTGGGAAAGGGCAGTGTGGAGTGCGATAGAGATTGCATCATCTGTGGATCTGTTGGGGCGGTATGCAAATTAGAGTGGGTCTAGGGTTTCTGGGATTATGCTGTTGATGTGAGCCATGACCAGTCTTTCAAATTCACTTCGTCACATACTGTATGCATTATTTGAATCGAGCATCGAGGACCAGCCGTGAACAGTGTTTTCCTAACAAAAATGCTTGACGCAAGCCAAACCCACGGTCAATGTGCGCTGTCGTATTAGAGTCAACCGCTTCAGCAGTGTGTGCTACCAGGAAGCTATGTTGATAACGGTACATAACAGCTAACTGACAAGTCCTTAAGTCTCTTCTGCTTTTTATCTACAATGAACTATCAACTTAAATGCTGTATAGACCTCCTTTATCTATTTTTGTCGTTAAAGCACGTGTGTGACACAGATTAGTAAAAACGTGGGATATTGTCATATATGCAAGAAAGCGTGCCTTTTGAATTCTGTCTAATGTTAGTAGCTAGAAGCCTTATCAATAATGCACGATGAAATATAGGCACTCTACACTTGAGACGGACCAAGCGGAATAGGTTGAAAATATCCCTCTGGTGGCCCAGTTGACACAAATTTATTTACAGGGGAAAGTAAAGACAATCAATTTGTGAGAAAGACTGATGATGGGGAGAGAAGATGGTATTATCCCTAGTACTAGGATTTCTAAGTGTCACGATCGTCGAAAGGATGAGACCAAAGCGCAGCGTGTTGAGCGAACATCGTAGACTTTATTTATTAAAGAAACCACGATCGAAAACAATAAACCAAAATAGACGAAAGTGAAGTTCAATGCTGAATACAACAAACAGCCACACGGAAACAAAAACCCACAAACAAAGGTGAAACCACACAGATTAAATATGGCTCCCAATCAGAGATAACGAGCCGAACAGCTGACACTCGTTACCTCCGATTGGGAGTCATATGCCCAATTAACAACAAAACCAAACATAGAAAATGAACAACCAGATCCCACATAGAAATACACCCAAAAGAAAATGACAACCCTGGCTCACAACAAAGAGTCCCGGAGCCAGAACGTCACACTAAGGCACCAGGTATCCACAATATTAAAATCTTCCAAAAAGGTCTTAATATAGCTTGAAGGTGCCCGGCATGCCGTACTGTCAGTTTTAGTGGTATGAATGTAGAATCTACTGTCAGGTTAAAACCTCTCCCAAGAATGGTCACAGAGTTTGGGAAGTCTAGCAATTTAAGCTTCAAAAACATTTGCCGCATTGATGGAAGACAGAAATAATTTAGTACCATAGATAATAACAGAGGGATAACAATACTTCAGTTTACCCCAACCTTCGCATTAAGCTTCCTCTTATTACAGCCTTATGTTTAATAACTAAGGATATCTGGTGTTTGCTTACGCCAACCCTTCCATTAAATCTCTATGTACTTAACATTCATTCATTATCATGAAGGACTAATATGGCAGAGAGAGTTGGTTGACTAATCAAACCTTTGACCAAGTCAGTCAGGTTGAATGTCATTAAATCTCTGTGTCAAACATAAACATATTCCTCTACAGAGTAAAACTGTAATAATGTAACCCAGTCTGTGGAAATCAAGACTCCAAGGAAAAGAGGCAGGGAAGAAGCAAAAATTTAAATAGATTTCAATGTAATGTGTTATTTTATTATATTAAATAGAACAACAGATTTAGGATACCTTATCTTATGTTAAAGCCTAAAAAGTAGAGATGTTGAGTCACCCCCTATACCACTGTTATGACGAGTTTCTCTGGCATCAAGAACTTCAGGATGTAAGAGAGTAGTCGACACTCATATGGGGAGTTGATTCATCATTATTTAATTCAGTACTGGATTCAATGACAGACGGTACGTGCGTAGCCTCTTGTCATATGAATGACTTCCATAGAAAGTCTCTCAGTTGATATAATGCTCTCCGATCTACTTCTGTCCCACACAGTTGCCAACCATTATTGAGTGTCACTCATCTACTACAATAGCATCCCCATACATATCGTGTGGCACCCTAGCCAGGCCAGTCCCTCACGTACTCCTTCTAAGATTATCACAAGTGGCCCCCAATCTATCTTGGCACACCGACACTCTGTCACTCACCAGTGACCTCTATAACACATGGCGTGTCCTTGTCCTCTCTCCCACATGCAGCTCAGGAGTTTACAAACATTAATAATCTTGTATCAAACAGTCGTCATATCAACCACCCTTAAGATCTCTGAGTAAAAGAAAAATAAATGACGGCTCATATAGACAGAGTGGGACTGGCTTAGAGCATAGAATATGACCACAATGGCCATTAAATAAATGACATTATTCATGATAAACATGAACTAGTTGATCCATGCCATGAAAATAACAGCAATCCTGGGGAAACATTATCGGAGGGCTAAGCCCCAACTTAGACATTTATGTCCCTAAGGTTGTGGACATCATTCATATTGTAAAGTAAGAGGATGTTTATTGTCAAGGTACAATTTAATGTATAATGAAATGCATAGGGCATAAGAGTATAACACATGTTCATTTATTTGACGTTTTAGGGACACGTCATCAAAAATACAAGACACCATTGCAATAAGTACCTGTATCAATCAAGGACCTCCTGCAATGTATCAGCTGGAAACAAAGAAACAGTATCTAGATGATGAAGGCATGCTCAGAAGATGTACCTTTGGAGATAGAGATCACTGTAAGATCAACAAAACCATTCTGATAGTGGGAGAGACAGGAACAGGGAAGTCAACTCTGATCAATGCCATGGTCAATTATGTCCTGGGTGTAGAGTGGAAGGATAACGTCTGGTTTGAGATTGTTGAAGAGGAAAAAGGAAGTCAGACTGAAAGTCAAACTACAGCTGTCACTGTATATGAAGTCTTCGGGTGTGAGGGCCTGAGAGTCCCCTACTCTCTCACCGTCATTGACACTCCTGGGTACGGAGACACCAGAGGGATCCAAGAAGACCAACAGATCTCTGGAAAACTGTTGGAGTTGTTTAGGACTACAGATGGGATTCATCAACTTGATGCTGTGGGTTTAGTGGTGAAGGCATCTGAGAATCGACTCTGTGACAGACAGAAGTACATCTTCGATGCAGTTTTGTCTTTATTTGGCAAAGACATGGAGAAGAACATTGTAGCCCTCATCACACACTCACTAGGGAGGTCCCCAAAGAATGCCCTTGAAGCTATTACAAAAGCAAACGTTCCCTGTGCCAAGAATGACAGGAATCAACCCGTTCATTTTGTGTTCAAGAACTGTCAATGTGAAGTCTTTGATGAGGAAAATGAAAATCATGAAGAATATGTGTCTAGTCAGAAGACAGCTTGGGACAAGGGAGTAAAGTCCATGGACAAGTTTTTCGACTATAAAATGGAACCAAAAAGCGTGAAGATGACTGAAGGAGTTCTGAGAGAGCGCAAACAACTGGAGGCGTGTGTCAGCAACATACACGAGAAGATCCACATGATTGATCTGAAGCAGGATGAAATCGAGCAGACTCAAGAAGCACTCGATAAACACAAGAAAGAAATGGAGGAAAACAAGGACTTTACATATACTGTTGATATGCCGTACAAAGAAAAGGAAGATACAAAAGAGGAGAAGGCAACCACCTGCAGTGTCTGTGAGGAGAACTGTCACTATCCAGGCTGCTGGTGGGTCAACGATCTCTCATGGTGCAGTGCGATGAAGAAGAACTACTGCACTGTGTGTACTGGCAAATGTCACTACACCAAGCATGTCAAAGAAAATAAAATATATGTTGGAAAGACCAAGAAGGTTATAATGACATATGAGGAATTGAAAAAGAAGTATAAAATAAATGAGCAAGTTGCTGGGGAGAAAGGGAATGTGATCATCAGACTTCAGATAGAGTTGGAGCAGTTCACACTCCAGAAGGCCAAACTGGTGGAGGAATCCTACCAGTGCCTCGTCAAACTGGAAGAGACCGCTTTGAAGGCTCTCTCACTGTCCACTGCTGTGCATCTTGGCTTCCTGATTGAGAAGATGAAGGAGACAGGATTGACAGAGAAGGTGCCAAAACTGGAGGAGATGAAGAAGAGAGCTGAGGAACACAGGGGAGCTTTAGATTACTTTAAAGCTGGTGTGAGTAAAGGGTGGAATCATCTCTGGAGAAAGTACTACTGAGACATAGTAAAGCAAAGAAGATGTGGAAAAACCACATGAACATTTAGAAAAGAAATGCTGAAAAGAAAACAAAGAGCAGTGTTGTTATTCATGATTTTTATATTCAAGAAATACTTGACAAGAGTAGTAGGTTAAGGCCCAGTTCTCTGTGACATTTTAGAGACACACTTGCATACACCCACGCACACACATATGAAGAAGTTCCACTTTCACACACACACGGAGAACAAAGAATGAACATTGAGAGAGAATTGACATGAATTGAAGAAAAGAAGAACAAGAAGAAAAATAAATGAATTTGGACTGGAATTTATTAAGATAATAATTAAAGGTTAAATATGTAAAATGCTGAAAGTATGGGGAATCATACAGTGTGGTATATTAAAGGGGGATTAAAGGAATGCAGTAAAATGGTTAATAATGTGATAATGTTGTTTGCTTTAAGGTATGATGCATATAGACTATGTTTGTTAAGCTTAGAGGAACAAGGCCTTAGGAGGAGGTTGACAATGAAAGGTTATAATGTTGAGATGCTGTAATGATGAAATGTTTAAGTTGTTGGATATTTAAGATGTAATGGGAGTAATAAGTTGAGTTGGAGTAAGATTATAATTGAGTGAAGTATGGAATATTAATGTTGAAATATTAATGTTTAGAAATTAATGGGTTAAAAGTTAATGATAATGGAGTGTATTAAGGGTGCTAGCTTGCATTGGACATTCCCTGGTCAGAGCGGCTAGGAGGAGACATCCTGTCAAGGCGGGCATCCTGTGTAAGCAAACATCCTGCCTAGGTGGGGAAAGGAGAGATGTCTGCATTAGGTGTTAACCACTGAATGCGTCATGGGGGGTTAGCAAAAAGGAAGATGGAGGGTATAAAGGAGCCATGATTTTAGAGAAGGGGAGAACTCTCTTTGAGGTTGCTGGAAGAACCTGTCGACTGCTGGAAGAAGATTTTTGCTGTAGCTTTTTAGCTTAAAATATATTTTGATTTTATTATACTCATATTTAGATTTTTATTATACTCAGTTAAGTATTGTTACGGCGGAGACCGGCGAAGCGGAGAACGTTTATTGGTAATTATCTGTTTAGTGCAATGGTGGAGAGTGGTTTCCAATGTTAATGTGCCTTCTAATGTGCTAGCTAGCCAACGTTTAATTTCTTTGCTGCGTTATGAAAGGAACTAGACACGGTCATCAATTATCTGTTTAGTGTGTTAGCTAGCTAGCGGGTAGCTACTGGTATCGATTAGCAACGCTGGAGAGCTGTTTCCAATGTTAATGTAGCCCTAGCCATCGTTTAATTTTTGCTGCGTAATGCGTTATGAAAGGAACTAGACACGGACTTGAATTATCTGTTTAGTGTGCTAATACACTCTTGGCAGTTTGTTGTAACCAAGTATTGATGCTAAATTGTGTGTTAATGGATGCTAGCCTGCAAGTTAGCTACGGCGTCATAGCTAGGCATCGTGGGCTGTTGTGGGTAGTTTCTGTGTCTTGGCAGTGCCGGCTGTAGCACGAAGCGAGCTACCTAGCCGCTTTTTCGAACAGAGTCAGAGTCAACACAATAGCCATTGTGTGCCGGGTGTAGCACGAAGCTAGCCAGCTAGCCGTTCTTCAAACAAAGTCAACACAGTGGCCATTGCTAGCTACCCAGCACGACCAGCTAACTGTACGGTAGTAGCTAAATACAATATACTTGTCCTAGCTAGCCAACGTCTAATCATTGCTGCGTCATGAAAGGAACTTGACACAGACACGAATGATCTGTTTAGTGTGTTATCACACTATTGGTGGTTTGTTGTGACCAAGGGTTGGTGCTATACGGTGTGTTATTGTTATTGGATGCTAGCTTGCTAGTTAGCTATGGTGTCATAGTTGAATAAAGTGGGTTGAGTCTATTCCTTTAAACATTGAACCGCTGTGGTTCACAACAATTCTGATCTCTAAAGGTGGAAGTTGGGAGAGTTTTTGTTCGGGTGGTTCAGTGAAACAATTTTAGTTTCTGAGGTAGAAGTTTTTGGTGAGGGAGGCCCTGCTCTCTCCGCTCCCAGATGCTTAGCTCATTTCTTTCCGATCTCCTCTGCATTTTTGTAGCCATTTGCTACAGCCTGTCATCTATGCCTCTGCCTATCCCTGTTCTCTCCTCTCTGCACAGGCTACACAAACGCACCACACCGCGTGGCTGCTGCCTCTCTAACCTGGTGGTCCCTGCACGCACCACCCACGTGGAGTTCCAGGTCGCAGGCAGCCTCTGGAACTGCCGTTCTGCTGCCAACAAAGCTGACTTCATCCCAGCCTATGCCAACCTCCAGTCCCTCGACTTCCTGGCGCTGACGGAAACATGGATCACCACTGAAAACACTGCTACTCCTACTGCTCTCTCCTCGTCTGACCATGTGTTCTCGCATACCCCGAGAGCATCTGGTCAGAGGGGTGGTGGTACAGGAATCCTCATTTCTCCCAAGTTGACATTCTCAATTTTTCCCCTAACCCATCTGTCTATCTCCTCATTTGAATTCCATGCTGTCACAGTCACTAGCCCATTTAAGCTTAATATCCTTGTCATCTATCGCCCTCCAGGTTCCCTTGGAGAGTTCATCAATGAGCTTGACGCCTTGATAAGTGCCTTCCCTGAGGATGGCTCACCCCTCACAGTTTTGGGGGATTTCAACCTCCCTATGTCCACATTTGACTCATTTCTCTCTGCCTCCTTCTTTCCACTCCTCTCCTCTTTTGACCTCACCCTCTCACCGTCCCCCCCTACTCACAAGGCAGGCAATACGCTTGACCTCATCTTCACTAGATGCTGCTCCTCTACTAATCTCACTGCAACTCCCCTCCATGTCTCCGACCACTACTTTGTTTCCTTTTCTCTCTCGCTCTCCTCCCACACTACTCACTCTGCCCCTACACAGATGGTAATGCGCCGCCGCAACCTTCGCTCTCTCTCTCCCACTACTCTCTCCTCTTCCATCCTGTCATCTCTTCCCTCTGCTCAATCCTTCTCCCTCCAATCTCCTGATTCTGCCTCCTCAACCCTCCTCTCCTCCCTTTCTGCATCCTTTGACTCTCTGTGTCCCCTATCCTCCCGGCCGGCTCGGTCCTCCCCTCCAGCTCCGTGGCTTGATGACTCATTGCGAGCTCACAGAACAGAGCTCCGGGCAGCGGAGCGGAAATGGAAGAAAACTAAACTCCCTGCCGACCTGGCATCTTTTCACTCCCTCCTCTCTACATTTTCTTCATCTGTTTCTGCTGCTAAAGCCACCTTCTACCACTCTAAATTCCAAGCATCTGCCTCTAACCCTAGGAAGCTCTTTGCCACATTTTCCTCCCTCCTGAATCCCCCCCCCCCCCCCTCCTCTCTCTCTGTGGATGACTTCGTCAACCACTTTGAAAAGAAGGTTGACGACATCCGATCCTCGTTTGTTAAGTCTAATGACACTGCTGGTCCTGCTCACACTGCCCTACCCTATGCTTTGACTTCTTTCTCCCCTCTCTCTCCAGATAAAATCCTGCGACTTGTGACTGCAGGCCGCCCAACAACCTGCCCCGCTTGACCCCATCCCCTCCTCCCTTCTCCAGACCATCTCTGGTGACCTTCTCCCCTACCTCACCTCGCTGATCAACTCATCCCTGACCGCTGGCCATGTCCCTTCCGTCTTCAAGAGAGCGAGAGTTGCTCCCCTTCTCAAAAAACCAACACTCGACCCCACTGATGTCAACAACTACAGACCAGTATCCCTTCTTTCTTTTCTGTCCAAAACTATTGAGCGTGCCGTCTTTAGCCAACTCTCTTGCTATCTCTCTCAGAATGACCTTATTGATCCAAACCAATCAGGTTTCAGGACTGGTCATTCAACTGAGACTGCTCTTCTCTGTGTCACGGAGACTCTCCGTACTGCTAAAGCTAACTCTCTCTCCTCTGCTCTTGTCCTTCTAGACCTGTCTGCTGCCTTTGATACTGTGAACCATCAGATCCTCCTCTCCACCCTCTCCGAGCTGGGCATTTCCGGCGCGGCTCACTCCTGGATTGCGTCCTACCTGACCGGTCGCTCCTACCAAGTGGCGTGGCGAGAAGTTGTCTCCGCACCACGTGCTCTCACCACTGGTGTCCCCCAGGGCTCAGTTCTAGGCCCTCTCCTTTTCTCCCTATACACCAAGTCACTTGGCTCTGTCATATCCTCACATGGCCTTTCATATCATTGCTACGCTGACGATACACAACTAATCTTCTCCTTTCCCCCTTCTGATAACCAGGTGGCGAATCGCATCTCTGCATGTCTGGCAGACATATCAGTATGGATGACGGATCACAACCTCAAGCTGAACCCTGGCAAGACGGAGCTGCTCTTCCTCCCGGGGAAGGACTGCCCGTTCCATGATCTCGCCATCACGGTTGACAACTCCGCTGTGTCCTCCTCCCAGAGTGCGAAGAGCCTAGGCGTGACCCTGGACAACACCCTGTCGTTCTCCGCCAACATCAAGGCGGTGACCCGATCCTGCAGGTTCATGCTCTACAACATTCGGAGAGTACGACCCTGCCTTACACAGGAAGCGGCACAGGTCCTAATCCAGGCACTTGTCATCTCCCGTCTGGACTATTGCAACTCGCTGTTGGCTGGCCTCCCTGCCTGTGCCATTAAACCCCTACAACTCATCCAGAATGCCGCAGCCCGTCTGGTGTTCAACCTTCCCAAGTTCTCTCACGTCACCCCCCCTCCTCCGCACACTCCACTGGCTTCCAGTTGAAGCTCGCATCCGCTACAAGACCATGGTGCTTGCCTATGGAGCAGTGAGGGGAACGGCACCTCTGTACCTTCAGGCTCTGATCAGTCCCTACACCCAAACGAGGGCATTGCATTCATCCACCTCTGGCCTGCTGGCTCCCCTTCCTCTGCGGAAGCATAGTTTCCCGCTCAGCCCAGGCAAAACTGTTCGCTGCTCTGGCACCCCAATGGTGGAACAAGCTCCCTCACGACGCCAGGACAGCGGAGTCACT